GCACTGAGGTTGGCTCCACCACTTGCCCACTTGCCTCTGTCTAAATGTGGACCTACTCCGAAAGGCCGCTTCCGGAAGTCTGTAGACTTGGCCTTTCGGTACTGTAGCAGCTACGACCTTGACCTTTCAGGACTGTAGCAGCTACGACCTTGACCCTTCGGACAGGCTACAGCTACGACTTCTAGAACTCACTAGGACTCCTATCTGACAGGTCTACAGATCAAACCCCTACCCCTACACCGGCCTACGATAGACAACAACAACTGTCAAAACACAGGTCACGGGTTCAAACACTCGGGGTCAACACAGATATTGTACACAAGTAAGGTGAGAACTAGGGATCGAGCCCTGGGATCTGCACTCGCTACTGCTGACAGGTGAAAACCGTTTCACTCCCGCTGGCCTAAATTCGAGGTCCTTCGAGAATAACTCAGTCCAAGGCAGGACCTTTTCCTTTCTTATCCCTCTCATAGGCTCTAACTATGTCGGGACCTGTTTCTAGAAGCTCGGTTCTTGTAAACCAGCGGTCGTCCTCTGGCTCCTGATAAGCAAATCGGACCTTATATTGTTTCTGTGGACGAGCACTACCTCCTGTTCTGAACACATCTTCACCTACGATGCCGTCAATGTCGTACCTGCCATCCATATCCGGAGGGATCATAGACCTCCTCGATGGAAATTGATCACTCACTGTGCAGGGCAACAACTTGGATGCATGGAAGACCGGGTAGGTGTGGAGGTGCGCTGGAATTTCTACTTTGTAGGACGGCCCATCCTCTCCGCCCTTGACTTCTAGAACTGGCCACGGTCCTCTATACGCGGGCAGTAACTTCTGCGAGATATTCTCCTCAAGAGCAAATTCTTTAGACTTGACCCAGACTAAGCCGCCTACTTGAAACTGTGATGGGTGACGGTGTTTATTGGCTTGCTCTATCATTCGATGTTAGGCCTTCCTGAGGTTCTCTATCACGGTAGCTAGCTCTTTTTCGTGTTGTAGCGCAAACTCCCTAGTATCGGGCGGTAGCCTCTATATCTGATCCCGATTAAGTCCTTCAAATGGTCTACGCGGTCTGAAGGACTTATGTAACTCGTTGGGAGTGCGACAAGTGGACAAGTGCACGCTGTTGTTGTAGGCGCTGGCTACCTTTGGGAGCATCTCGTTCCAATTGACTTGATCAGGTCTAATATACATACGCACAACTTGTTGCAGGACCTTATTCATCTGTCCAGTCTGACCGTTGGTCTCCGAATGACGGCCAGATGACATTAACAACTCAGAGCCATAGACTATCATTAACTCCTACCAGTTCTGACTAGTGAACCGGGTGTCTCTATCACTAACTACGGACAATGGAACCCCGTGCTCACTGACCCAGTGATCAAAAAACTTCTGAATCACTAACTTTGTACGTGCCTCAGAAGGCGAAGGAATAAAAACAACATATTTGCTAAATCTATCAACTACAACCATGACTTGGCTCTTGCCGTGCCTACTTTTGACACCAGCATCCATAAAGTCAATGGATACTGAATCTCCTGGCTGGTCCGGAATAGGCAATGGTCTGAGAAGACCTAGCGGGGCACTCGTAGTAGTCTTATTCCTTAAGCAAACTTTGCAACTGTGAACATACTCTATGCAGTCATTCTTCATTCCTGGCCAGGTGTACGCGTGCATTAGGTTGGCTAGAGTCTTTTGCCAACCAAAGTGTCCCTCTGTATCGAGACACTCCCCTAGGATCAAACTACGGATCTCTTCACTGTTGGGGACGCACAGTCTGTCCACTACGTTAGTCTTCTCAAATAGTAATCCATCAGTAGTGCGGTAATCTGGCTCGATTTCGGGGGCCTCCTTGACTTTCCTGAGGAGGTCGTTATAGATAGGGTCCTGCGCGTACACGTCTCTAACCTTTTGCTGCAGGTCTCTACCTATATCCAGATAGTGAACTATCGCCCCGAAGTAGTCGGCTCTCCTACTCAGAGCATCCGCAACTACGTTATATTTCCCTTTAACTGGCTTGAGCTCGAAATCATACTGGTCTAACTTTGCGGCCCACCTAGTAAACTTAGGTGTCATCTTGGCATGCGTCTTCAACCACCTCAACGTCTCATGGTCTGAGTAGACTTTAAAGTGTCTCCCAAGCAAGTAGTGCTTCCAATGTTCTAGAGCTTGCATGAGAGCGTAGAGTTCCCTCTCATAGGTAGATGTCGCTACCTTCTTTGAAGGCATCCTAGCAGACATGAACTCTACGGACCTATGTCCATGGCCATCGTCTTGCTGTAGTACAACCCCTATGTCGTACTGGCTCGCGTCAGTCGTGACGACGAAAGGTAAGGACGAATCGGCTATCGGATACTCTATTAACGCCTGCTTTAACTTCTTCATGGCAGACGTGCAGTCCTTGTCCCACTTCCAGATCGCTTCTTTCTTCAACAACCTGCGAAGGGGTGCAGCGATGGTGAAGAAGTTCCTCACGAACTTCCTATAGTAGTTAGCTAGGCCTAGGAACGACCGCAATTCTGTCAACGTGCGGGGTGTAGGCCAATCTCTAATCGTCGCGATCTTGCTATCTTTGGGTTTGATGCCGTCTCCGTCTAAGACATGGCCTAGATACAATACTTGGGTCTTTGCCCACTCACACTTCTTCGCATTGATCTTGAAGTCAGCTTCTCTTAGCTTCTCCAAGACCTGCCTCAGATGACCCTGATGCTCTTGGAGGGTCTTACTAAATACTAGAATATCGTCTAGGTAAACTACTACAAACCTATCTAACCATGGCCTGAACAAGTCGTTCATACAACGTTGAAAAGTCACTGGCGCATTGGTTAGTCCAAAGGGCATCACGATAAACTCATAATGCCCATATCTAGTCCGGAAAGCTGTCTTGTACTGATCATCAGGGTGGACCTCTATCTGATGATATCCGGACTTCAAATCTATCTTTGAGAAATATCTGCACCCCTGCACCCGATCTAAGAGATCGTCTATCCGGGGCAGTGGCTCAACATTCTTCACGGTAATTGCGTTCAGACCCCTATAGTCTATGCACATCCTCAACTCTCCCTCCTTCTTGGGGACAAATAGAACAGGTGCTCCAAAGGGAGACGAACTGGGCCTAATCCAACCCTTTTTTAGGAGCTCGTCTAATTGCTTGTGTAGCTCCTCCAACTCCCGTGGGGACATCCTGTATACCGCTCCTTTGGGAGTCCTACTGCCAGGCTTTATCTCTATACGATGCTGGATCGGTCGCGGTACTACTCTTGATGGCGGCTTAGCTAAGTCTGTGAACTCTTCCAGCAGCTTGGCGATAACAGGGTCTATGGGTTTTTCCTCTTTAAGCTCAGTTACGGGCCTAACATAGGCTACGGAAACCTGTTCCTCTAATTGCTCCTTTTTCACTAATCTTGCAAACGCAGGAGCGCTAAGGCAGCAATGTGCCAGGGTATTGTCTACACCTGACACATGGAGCAGACAGGCAGTCTTAACCTCGCCTGACGGACCAGGGAGCCTACACTCATGCTCTCTGAGGTGGAGTGTGGCCCCTGCTGCCTCTCCCCAGTCCATACCTAGGACTATATCAAAAGGAAGGTCGTCTTGTACGAGGAGAGTCAGGGAATGGAGAACTTCTCCACTTTCCCATCTTTCTCTAGGCGAAAATACGCCTGGACTCCCTCTACGTAGTCCTCAACTCCCATAGTGCGGTTGTCCGCTAGCCTCAGCTTCTTCAGCGCTCTACGACTAATATAACTGCGGGTAACCCCTGAATCTATAAGGGTTCCTACTCTACTTCTAAAAACTTCCACATCTACCAAAACTAGTTGTCCCTTACTCTCCTTCTTCAACTTGGCCCAGGCGGGCATCCTCTCCTTCAGCTCATCAGCCATGCCTGTGAGGGAGGTGCCTAAAGAGACTCTAACACAAGCAGTCTCTGGACAACTGTTTAGGCACCAGCCTGCAACCTCTGCCATAGGCTCATGTGGTGTGGAAGTTTCTTGCCGGCTCGCGCTCATTTCCCCACATGGCCTTATGGTAGGGGCAGTTGCCACCCCTACCGGCGGCTGCCTTTTGACCCCTGAGCAGCCGATCGGACCTCTCTATACTTTGGACAAAATTTAATAATGTGGCCAGGGTCATCGCAATAAATGCACTGCCCCTGGTCCACACGTTGTTGCCATACGCGCTGGTACAGGCCCAAGTCTTCCCAGGGCCACCCCTGCGGCAGCCCTGGGTGCCAACCACTTCTCCTATAGGGTGACCTATTACCCCTATTAGGTGACCGGTTGCCAGAACGGTTTTGCGGGGGACCTTGACCCCTTCCTCCCGCTTGGAGGTTTCCTCCTCTACCGCCAACTCCCTGATTGCCCTGGGTACGACCACCTGAGGCCCGGCCCCCTTGGCCCTGGCCTCTACCTCCTCCTTGCGGCCTCCTTCCAGCCGCGACAGCAGCATAAGTCCTCCCCTGGCTCACACTACTGTCCTCCTCCTCTAGCCCCCACTCAATTTGTTCGTAGGGGACTTCGTCAACACTACCCTCATCCAACGTAAGGATCAGGCGATCCTTGGTCTTAACATGTCCTGAGATAGTGCGACCTTTCCACTTTTTCCCCTTGTCCTAGTCCTTATGCCAGAAAGTGGAAACTGACATGGAGCTTGCTTCAAACGCCACCACTTCCCTGCTCAAGGCATAGCCCGGTAGAAGAGGTTGACCAACTGGGTCTCTGTGACCCCGTGGTCAGGGACTGCAACTAACTCGTCCATAACGCCTTTGAGTGCCTTGGCACTCTTCCACTGACGAGAGTGGATGGTTTGCAGCTTGTCGGAGGCTTTGACGCTGCGCGAAACGTCTGCAAATCGTTCGCGCAACAATTTAAGGAAATCAGCGAGGGGAGTAAATGCAGAATAAGCAGCTAGATCATCATTGCAATTAGCAGCGCGAACCAGGGAACAGACAAAACTGGCGGCTTCCTCCTTCAGGGCGTGGATAGCTATTAGGACATGCTCATCTGGGGAGACCTTTTGCAGATGCACGTAGGTCTTAACATTGGCCTCCCAATTGTCAAAGTTTTCCTCCTTCCCACTGTAGGAATCGGGAAATTTGACTTTTGACAGGCTCCCTACGGGGACGTGCTTCCTCCGATTTGGGAGCGGTCAGTTTGGCGCCTTCTATGGCGCCTGTGCAGTATCGCTCTGTGCCTTCTAGGCGGGCCCTCACTTCGGAACCCACCTGAGTCGCCAATTCCCGTGCAAAGTCCATGAGTCCTAATCGTATAGAACGCACGACAATGTCTTGACTTCTACCAAATAAAAATTGTTCTTCCTGGACTTGTGCCAGGCGCTCTATGTTTCTCGCCATAATTTCCATCTTCCCTAGTAAATCCACCTGCGTCACCATTTGGTCTCTTTGTTTCTTTATCTCCTCCAACTCTTTCGCCGCTTGGTTCGCCGCCTCCATCCTTCTTTTCCTTTCCCTTGTCAAACGAAACTTCCACTCCATCCTTTTCTCATCTTCCAACACCTGCCGCTTGAGTGGATCTTCTTCAGCATCCCACTCTTTCACGGCCACCTCCTGTTCTTCCCTGGGCACATACATTAAGGCCTCCTCAACTTCTCCCATGGATAATCCAGCAACCCACTCTGTAATCTTCTTTTCCATTAAATCTTCTTTTGTGCCACTGGACTCACCTCTTCCTCCTGCCCTTTGCCTTTCCAGTGGCTGTTCTTCCTCCTCTTCGTCTTCTTCTACCGCCTTGGGGTTCGCTTCCTCTTCTCTCTTTAGCCTCTCTTTCCCTCTAGCCATCTCCTCCTCGATCTTTTTCAGCTTGGCTGCCTGCTCTTCTAACAAGGCCTTCTTCTTGGCCTCCTTCCTTTCTCTTCTCTCCTTCAGGGCGGCGGCGGCCTTGGCTTCCTGTTCGGGCATATAGGGGGTGGTACTCGTGCCACTACGCGTGTCAACCATGGTGAAAGATGCACAACCCAACGGCGGTTCCACTCCTCACCACTTCGACTCTCCCCCTAACTGACAAGACCTACTGACTCGGTCTATGGACCACAGGATCCGTATAGAACCCTGTCAACTATGGTCTCTAGCCTAGACTCTAATACTACAGCCGTCACTACAGAACCTGTTGCTGACCAGGAGGCATTTAAGGAGATCCCCCGTAACTCCTCAAGAATTCTTTAACGACGCAGACAGGACGACGCGGTCAGCAGGTTCTCTCAAGACTTAGACGGCCCGTTGTGCAGCCCACAGCTCAGATTTCGGGCCTACCGTGCCACACCGAGCAGCCCGCCGGTCAGTACCGGTCCTTGGGAGGGTTCGTGTCCTCCGGGACAGTCGAGTCGTCAGACACAGTCTTTAGCCCTACT